ACATATATTTAATACTTGCGCCGGGTATTTAATGTTCGGCTCCGCCCGAACTTAGACTTTCTTACTTGTTTTAATCTAGCACGCTTTTTAATTCAAAACTTCTTTCTCTCAGTGCACCGGTTTAATTTGTGAAATAGTCACATTTCGAGATAGTTGAACTTTGCACAAGCAATAGTTGATGATTAGTATATGTACCTAAATACGTTCAAAATGACGTGCACAGAGTTTTACAATTATATTAAGGAAAAGACAGAAGTTTTGAAACAAGTTCACAGCAACGAAAAATATGACTGATATTTTTATGTTATCTAGAAATTTAATTCTTTCATGAAACCTAGAGTACTTATAAGTACAGTGCCGTGAAAAATTATTGGCTCGGAGGCTCTTTCATCAGATCACAATTTCTAATCTGATCTTTTAGACAAATTTTGAAAATGTAGCTTTTGAGCCAATTAATAAAGCAAGTCTGAAGTTGCCAGCAGATTTCGTTGATTTGTAGCATTTATTTTTTTTTTTGTTGACAGTGTCTTCCATATAAAAATAATTATCGAACATAGTTTGTATGGAAGAAACTTTCAGTAAAAACAATACCAAAAATTAACTAAAATTGAATGGGCTGCAAAACTTCATTTAAAAAATTTTTATAAATAGTCTGATTAGAATGTTGAAAATTTGTATGCAAATTTATTTAATTTTCCCGAGTTTAGCAAAAAGTTTAACAATTTTATTTTTATGTTTTTTCATATGTTTAGTATAAACTGTAATTTTGTAAAGAATAAAAAAAGGTTCATGCATTGTGAAAAATTCTCTGTGCTTTAGTTGTGATAAGTTGTTTTGTTTTGTTGGCGTACGTTGTAATGATCTCATGATCTCATGTTTTTATGTTTTTGTTTTTGTCTGTCAAAATAAAATTTCACTACATCCTTTCGCACGTCGAAATGAAAGAGAAGGGAGCGAGAGGCCCTCCCTAAAGTGTCCCGGTTTGGCAATAGAGATATCTGGCAGCCCTACACTTACATCACACTCCCAGTAAAAAATGTGCACTCTAGTGCGTCTTTTGGAATGCAATGTAGGGCATTATGCTTTTATATCGTTTAATTCCTCACTCGGTTTTGCTTAATGACAAACATTCTTTTTAGCAAAACAGAGCTCCGACGGTACGTCCCATAAAATTCTGAAGATACCAAAATCTCTGTACTCATATAGGGTAAAATAAAACGCTCAACCATTCCTTATCAATTATCTCTGAATCAGTGGCGGATTCTGGGGGGTAGGTGGAGTTTTGGGTGTTAAACTACGTGTCAGTCAGTGACGGACCCTCCGCTGGCTCCGCCACTGCTTTGAACACTTAGTCATTAGTTCCTATTGGTCTTACGATACGCAGTAAAAAGTAGCTTTTGTGCCGCAAAATTTGAGGTAGAAGATGACCTGAACAGTCAATGTTGACGTAAATACTTAACCACTATAACTAAATAAAATATTTTTTTTGATATTGTAATTTTTTTTTTTTGATAACTACTTAAGTATTATCTTATCATAAGTGAAGCATTTGGTATCTCTACGGTATATCTCCAAAAAATTAAGCAATTTACACGGAGATTTCACCACACAAGACAGCAATAAAAGAATTACATTTGAAATACGAGTAACGGCAGGTGGCTTTTTGTAAATAAAAACACTTCAGTTTTTATCGTTTGGACTTTAAATTTTGAGATTTTTTCTGGACGGTTTTATTATATGTATACAGTTATGGAATTTTTTATGTTGGATTTTGCTTGTATAAAATAGAGATGCCAGATGAAAATAAAAAAAATTTATTTTGGAATCGATTCGAATCGAAATAAAAATAATCGATGCAGAAAGAAATCGTCAAAAAATAACTCGATCTCCCAAAATTGATATATATAATACGAACATTCAACAGAAACTTCATAAATCCTTAGCACAACTTAGGAAAATGGTAAAATTTTTTTAAAATTTTGTTTTATCTCAAAATTTACCGCTATTTTAAAAATGTATTATACATTAATACAATAGCCCAGTAAAGCTTACGTATACAGATTTTTTGGCAGTACAGATTTTTTACGTTATTTTTGTTTTCATATTCAACAATTTTTTATTAGGCCAAAAAAATATCAAAAACGATTTTTTATGTTTTCGCTAACTGCGTATTTCACTCCATATTAAACAAATCGCACCATAAATACGATTTTTTCGAATAGATCGGTCTCTGGTCTACCTACCCGAAAAAAGTATCCTATATATTATTCTAGACAAAAGGGTACCTACGCACCAAATGTTAGACAAATCGAACCATAAATACAATTTTTCCGAAAAGATCGGACGCTGGTCCAACTCCCGGAAAAAAAGTAAATTTTGACATTGCGGTTGCTGAAAGTTATTAATGTAAAAAAATTTCATGAAAATCGGACCAGCGGTTCGCGAGATTACCTGTTACAAAGAAATGGGCCATCCCCTTATATAATTACTATATATAGAAGTATAGATAGATAGATATATATTACACATACATGAAAAAGAATAACTTCACGATAAAAAATATCTGTAAGCAACACTTTCATTTAAAAAATAATAATAAACATTAAATAAACAACCAAAAAAATAGTCAAAACTTGTTCGAACGTCGCTTACCCTTTCATTTGCCCGCCACTGTACATAAAAATGTTAAATCTTTACCCAGCCAGCAAAAATATCGTAAACACACTGAAAACTCGATATTTTCTCGAAGAAAAACGGGCTAAAATGTCGTTTATGATAGCCGTTTACGATTCGTTTTCGAGTACTTTATCGCTTGAAATTGTCGATCGCCTACGAAAAGTCGTAAACGGATCAAAAGAGCATTCGTATGCGAATATTATATATTATAAAATATTGTGGTTCAAGAAAAATTTCCAACAGAATGCCAATTTTTTCTTGTGCTGACAAATTGCTACAATTTCTTTTATTTTGTTTTTGTTTTATCGTTTACGAGCCATTCTCAAACTTTTCCCCGATCGAGAATCCCTCGTGAAACATAGGGCTGGTTTCTCCATCTCAACTTAACTTAGTTAAGCCAATTTTCTTGACTTAGTCATGAATAAGCTGTGTAAAACGTAGGTTAACTTTTGACTTAAGTCCAAAAAGTGGCTAACCTAAGTTAAGTAGAGTTGGAGAAACCAGCCCATAATGTTCGTAAAATGTAAGTTTTTTTGCTGGCTGGATATGTTGTTCTAGTTTTTATACATATGTACATATGTAGTTGAATTTCGAGCTGTTCGATTATTCGTGTTTAACTTTCTGTGTTTAAAATAGATTTTCCCGCGGATTTTCGCTATTAAAACCAACAAAGAAATTGACCAACGGATCGATCTGCGTCCTCTTTTTTTTTTTGGAAAATTTTATCTCATTTCATTTATTTTTATAAAGATTTTGCGGATATAAATTTTTCCCGACCATCAGTTTGCGCCACTGAATATCACTAATTGATATTTTTATTAATAAAAGCTTCGTACAAAAAAAAATGTTTGAGTACATACTATTTTTCTATCTTAATAAAATGCGAAAATCGGTTTGCGCCTCCACTTTCCATTGCCCCAGGGCGGCAACATACATACATATGTATGTACTCATTTAATGTTTAACTGCGAGGTAGTGATAACCAGACATTGAACAACCGACCCTAAGTAAGTACTGATTATGGTTAATTAGTTGGGTATTTTTTTTTTTTTTGATTGACGCCAAGTATCAACACTTTTCAGTTGAGAAACCAGGTAGTTACAAAGATTAAAGGGATTTTACATGCAAGTGCAAATTTAAGTATGAGCTTAACTAATGGTGATTTTGTTTCTAGCAAAAAATGTCGCCTTTTGATTGCCCCTTTCTCATTTCGTGATCGAAATTAAAGGCAAAGGGTGAGAAAATGTTGTGTTCGTTTCTTAAAATTTCAAACTCTTATAAGGCAAAGAAGGCCCTGCCCTGTGAAACCTAGTCAGGGGAGATAGTTGCCCTGAAAATCAGGTAGTTGTTTAAAATTACAACATTGTGAAGGCAAAACATGCATTTTTACAGGGTTGAGTGTAACACATCAAACACATTTTGCACCGGGGAAGGGCAACATTTTTTTGGAAGAAATGTAATCACCATAATATGTAATTATGGTTGATAATAAATAATCTGTGAGCGTTTGCAATTTCCAAATCAGATACTCACCCATGATTAAATTAAAAATAGATTTTCGATTTTGTTTGGCGTACATTGTCATCTTTGCAAATGTTAGCTGTTGTTGTTGTTGTTTCCTTTATTAAATTTGATTAATAGCTTAACAGTTGTTGTAGCTAGTATCGGCAAAATTTTGCTGGTCTTAGCTGTTTTTTTTAGTGATTTTTGTATTGTTACTTTTACTTTTACGTTTATTTCGCTTTGCCTCGTTGTCTTCACTTCCGTAATTAATGAGCCACCAACTACAACACTGATTGAGTTGAATGAAACCAAATTTATATTTATATTTAATTCTGTTTGCAAAAAAAAAAAATATTTGATTTATCTAGCCGAAACTAAACGCTTTAAGAATTTTTGCTTAACACATAAAATTTAAGTTACGTGCGACACACGATAATAACACTCCGCGACTGAAATGCGAACAGCAGCAGAACCGGCTAAAAGATCAGAACTAAGCGGTCGGACGGACAGTCATCTCACCGACAAAAAAAAAATCCAGCGTATTTAACCGATGTTCGGATATGTGAGTTGCTTGAATGTAGATTTCCCGAAGAGTGCGGATTCCCCAAGTCAATATCTACGTGTACATATGTATGTATGTATGTATATGCAGGTATGTAGGCATTTAGTTAGGTGTATTAGTTTCAAACAACGGCTTCAGACAATTACTCAAACCCGCACTGAATCACTTGTATCCAAAGCTCTGATTACAATAATAATTTTTACTATGACTCAACAGTTCCATGAGTTATGAAATTCTAACTCATTTTTGTTTCATTATTTTTCCCTTTGGACTAGTATTGCTATTCAATCATAAGTTGAACCATTTTATTTAATTTAATGTTTCAATAAAAATAAATGATGAATAAAAATTCGAATACCTAGATACTTAAAAAGTACCTATTAAAAAAATTAGGAGCATTTTGAGAAACCGTAAGTTTCCTTTTCGGTCTATTATCGTAGCACACCCAAAAAACACTCCGTCCAGTTTATCTTTGGTTGATTTAAGTAGTGTTTTATAAAAAATCATAAACGCATTTGGGAGTTCGCACTGAGTCTTTGCGGATGGTCTGAGAGAGCTTTTTGGTACTGAGAAATCACTCATTTGAGTCTCCTAACGGTGTTCAGCGCCTGGGAATCCATACAAAACTATCAGCGCAATTCTGGCTAAGATAGTTAAACGTCTTTTGTAGGACAAATGAAAGACAGATGGCCACGATAGTTCAAAAGACTTTTGTTACTCTAGCACAAAAGTCTTTAAAGAGCTCTCTCATTCACCACTCATCTATTTTAGAAAAAGAACTTGTATATCATTTAGCTCGCACTGCTTCAAAAGCCTCAATGACCGAGTGAACAAAGCGCAGGCAACGGAATTTTTTTCTTTTTTAATCTACATTTCCTTCGTTTTTAATTTAATAGTTAGGTTTTATCTTGTTAAAACAATAAAAATTTTTTTTTTATTTAATTTAATTTAATTTTTAGAAACTTATTTTTTTTTTTCCTAATTTATTATTTTATAAAGAAAAATATTTTGGTTTTACTTCATCTAATTTTTAGGATCTTATTTGTTTTTTTTTTTCCTTCTTTTAATTTTTAGATTTTACTCTTTAAGAAAGAAAAATATTTTTAAATTTAGAAACGTATTTTATTTGCTTCTTCTTTTTTGATAAAGTTTGTTTTTTTTAAATTAATTTCAAGATTCTGCTTTAAAAATATAAATATTTTTTTTTTAATTTTTAAGTACTATTCATTTTCTTATTGTTTGATTCATCTTTTTCTAACTTAACTTTTAGTTGTTATTATTTTAAAAGGAAAAAAAACATATATTTTTTAATTTATTTTAATATTTAAAAATATTTATTATATATTTTTGCCTTAATTTATTTTTTTTCTTTTGTTAATTACTTTTTTTCTTTTATTTATTAGTTTTTATTGTTATAAAAAGCTAATTTTATGTAATTTTTAAAAGGTGATATTTCGATTAATCTTCCGTAAGACAGTAAAGAGCTTTCAAAATATTTGCTAAAATTGACAATTGTCTAACGAAATACTGTGGTGAGTCGAAAGATAGTTGCCAGTATTGCCCTGTATATTTGTCAGAGATCTTTCAAATTATCAAGATTTATTTTTTCATAAAAAATTTCACTCATTGCACTTTTAAACCCACACATTTATGTACCTGTATACATATGTGCAGATGTATGTCTGTATTTTGCAATATAAAAACGATCTCTTGCTGTATGCAACCGTCCTCTACATACATATGCACAGCTGATATGGCTTCTATATGAGATTTTCACGTGGGTGTGCAACGAAAATTCGCTGCAATTAAGATTAACTGCCGTTTTATGATTTTTTACATATCCCTTAACTCTGATGGCTTTATAGTTAAAAAAAAAAATAAAAAAATCAGCCACTTGTTGCATACGAGCGCAATATGAATGCTTATCATTGTTGGGAAACTTTGACAAACATCAATTAAATAGTAATAAAAATGCAAACATACATAGTCATAGTCGTCATAAACTACAACAACACCACTTTTAAAGCAAATGAATAAGTGCATATTTAGTTAAGTCATACGTTTTTAATAAAAAAGATATTTAAACATGTTAACTAGATGATGTTCTACATTTATTAACACTATCACTCATTTTTTTTCAACTGCTTGCATTATTTTGCATACATACATGTGTGTATTTACTTATGTATTTATTTATTTTTTAATCATTTGTTTGTTTCTTATTATGTTTGTTTTTATTAAAATATTTTTTTCCTTTTAATTAAATTTCGCGCCAGATGCGTTGAAGCGAACTTGTCAATTCCTAAATGCTAAACAAGTGTACAGAACACACCTACACACGCGCGCTATTCAGCAGCTGAATATCGCGTTGATTGCGTACAATTAGGTACGATGGCACACCCGCTTTAAGTGGAGTCACGTTCTAGAATGACCAAGCCCGCCCCAGCAAGACAAGCTCAGAAGCTCGCACAGCTAACTGAGCAAGTGCGGTTATCATTAAACGGCAATCACTAGGCTGATCGGGATGATTTTTATTTGGCCGTTTTTTTTTTGTTATCATTTTCAAATTTTCCCTCAAATCAATCGATTTATAAATATATGTATGTATGTAAGAAAATGTTTACGAAATTTCTATTTAGGTAATACATATTAACACCTACCGTAACATTTTTCATATTAATATTTTAATCTTTGTTCATTCTCTACGCAAACTTAAAATGAAAATATCATGCAATATAACCTGATCTATAAAAACGTAATGTACGACTCAAAATTAAGTTTACGTATCTCGGCGTTTTTTTGTGTCGTTTTAGCGTCCCTCTAGTGTACATAGAGGTTTTGCACGGATCTGGACGAGTTAAAGTTCGAAGGCCATTTAGTGCTTGAAAAAGGCACTTCCGAGAAAAAAGTTTCAAACAAGAGTGACGTATTTTTTTTCTCAAAATGCGAATCCGTAGTAAAAACATGTACGTCTAATTTAAAAAGATGGACTCCCGGCCAGTTAACGATCAGTAAGAAAAATCTATAATTTTGCAACATCTCATAGCCCAGTAAATCTTTTATATTTTTATTCTCGAGCGCACTTTGTTCACATAACGGTTGATTGTGACAGCCAAAACGAATCGAGATAGATATAGACAAATGTATACATAAATGATCAGAATGAAAAGAGAAATCGATTAAGCGGTGACTGTCTATCCGTCCGTCCGTCCGTCAAAAATTGCGATATCTCAACGAAATTTGGCATGTATGTAGATTTCTCTTTAGCCAAGGTAGGTTGGTATTGAAAATGGACGAAATCGGAGCGTAACCACGCCCACTTCCCATATAACGGAATTTTTCAGAATTTTTTATGGAGGGTTTTGCTGTTTTTTTTTCATATAAAAAAAAATATATCAAAAAATAATCTAAAAAATCAACGGTAATTTTTTAACCACTTGAAACTTGCACTTTCCGATACTTCTTTTGAATGGGCTACAAAAACTGCATACCCGAAAATTTTCTAAATATTCTTATTAAAAATTTTAAAATTTGTATGACAATTTTTTAAAGTTTGATTAATTTTTTTTTTTCAATTTGTGCAAGCTTTTAAACTTTTATAATTGTAGTTTCTGTTATAGATTGAATTATATTTTAAATGACAATATCATTTTGAATTTCGTTGCTAATTGGATGATCGCATCTGTATTATTCATGAAAAACAGTGTTGCCAGCATTTGAGTTTCAAAAAGCACCAAAACTTGGAAAAAACCGTTTTACCACACCAAAAGCACAAAATTTTTTTGAATCAAAGGATACTTTTTTTCATAACAGTTTGTATTTAACAAAAGTAAAAAAATAAACAATGTTTACAAGTATAAATCAATACACAAAACTTTTTCGATTTCATAACGATTGAACAACAGCCTCTACACATGCCATGATGACTCGTGTTTACTATTTAAGTAATACCGAAGTACTGCTCATTAAAACCGGTATATATATCTCGAGAAAGAAAAATCGAATCGCAACAAAAGAAAATGAATTTTCAAGGGGAAGAGTAATGCTAAATGATGCCCTAAGTAGAAACAAATTTGTTGTTTTCAGAATATAACCTCAAATATCGCCAAAAACCATGTTTTTGGCACTTTGAGGTTGGGATATCCCACGTGGTAGAGCAATTCTGCGATCATATTTGCATTCAGCACCAACAAATCTTCAAGATACGATGTCTTTGAGTCAGGTGGTAAAAAAATTAAAAAAGTTGTCGAACTGTGTAATCAGTCAAAATATGCAGCTAATCTGAAATCGCCAATTATATGGAGGTACCCTTAGCTGAGATGGATAAAAAAAAGTATTGCGCTTTTTTTTTAATCCACAAATTTTTTAGTGGATAATTTTCACTGGAAAAGTATCTGCATGTATAGTAAAAACATAGACAGACGGCAGCGTTGATTTGGATCACCTCGTTAATTCGGAATTAACTCGGAAATTAACTGCAGTTGATCCGCATTAAGCCCTGCAGCTAATCTTAATCTTAAAATTAATGCAGAGCAGGGGAATTTTCGGTGACAACACTGACCAAAACCGCCAGCCGGAAGGCGAATGGTGGTAGCTGCGTACTAAAATTTCGTAGGATCCAGGTTCGATGCTCGGTTCGAGCGGTTGCAAACAAATTTTGTTTATTATATATTTATTAACCGTTTTCCAAAAAGGGGGAGGTTAACAGTTCGACGGAATATTCGTCGATTTCTCTATTTTTTTAAGGAGAGGTGGTACTAATTTAGTATAGATCCGGTACTCTTAATGAAAATTTAATTATTTTTTGCTTAAAAATTATTTGTTTTTTACTTAGATTTTTTATTTCATCTTTGGTTTTATTTTATTTCGCGTTATTTATTTCATTATAGCACAGTTAGTTTTAACTTTAAGAATTTAATTTTATTTAAAAAGCCCACAACAATTAACATTACAAAAAAAAAATAAATAAATGTAATAAATTTTGCCGTATGCCTAGTTATAAAGCTTGTTGACTGCATTTCGTTATACATTCTGAACGTTCGGAACAAACGTTTTCGTTTACATATTCGTTAGGCAGTACCGGATGTGTTATCACATATTGCAAACGCATGCCATACATAGTTGCTATAATTTTTTATATTATATTTAAAAAAAAATTAAAGGTTCATTCATTCGTTTTTTTATTCATTCAATCCCGCATAAACTGCAAGCGACTAACTGATATTTTGATCGACCAACCTAGGACATAACCGCGCTATATGTGCGTATATATATTTCGAGATGTACATACGTACATATGTACATACATAAATATTTATGTATTTTGCTACGCGAATTTCATCACGCACAGCTTTCGCTTAGCATTTACCTTGTAATCTGATCTGTATATAAGTTTGTATGTAAAGATAAGATGAACTGTGTAGCCATTTCACAGTTTCTTGCAATTAATAACATCAGTCCTTTTGAAATTGAACATATATGTAAGTATGTACATTAATATGACTTTTTCTAAAATTAAATACACATACACACAAGTGTTCACGTGTTGATTTTTTTTAATATTCACAGCGTTTTTCAAGCTAAATTTTTATTTTGTTATTTTTCTATAAAAATATTGTCCAAGCTTTAGCCAAAACCATGTACTAAATAAGTGTTTCAAGCTTTATGCAAAGTTTTGGAAAATTCATCAAAATTTCGAGCTTTATAGTCTGAATTTTTATAACATTTTTTGTGTATGCAGTTTTATAGCCCATACCATTTTAGTCTCATGAAGTGTAGTTTCAAGCGGCAATGCGTGTTGATTTTTAAGATTTTTTTTACTATTTTTCGTTTTTTTTTTATAAAATAAGTGCATTTTATGAAAACTGGCTTTTATTTTTGGCACTTTGCTGCGAACGGTCTTCAACATTTTAATTTCATAATAAACTGATGCTTATATGGAAAACGTGCAAAAATCCGTCACAAAAAAAAATACATGCATACATATTCCAGGGCGCCACACAGTGGTCTCAATAGCGAATCTAGCGGGACAAAACTATTTTAACAGATTCGCGTTGATGTATTTGTACACAACTTCGTATCTATTGGCTTATGGGGTAGTTTAATAATAAAATAATAAATAATGTAGACAAATTTTTAAAAATTTATCGAATTCTCTTGGAATTGTTGTATTTAGGAGTTTTATGGTAGCTGATTACGAATCTGAAAACAGGTTTCAAAAATTTTTAAATGATGCTTCCAGGCTTTCTAATTTAAAAATTTATTGAATTTTAATGGAACATAGTAAAAATTAGGGTCCTCTTGAATTCAAATATTAAACAAAGTTGGCAAAATGTGGCAAAAATTTTCTGTGCGTTTGTAGTCTAGGTGTTAAATGATAAAAATACGTCAATTGATTTTTGGCAAAATTTGGCAGAAATGGTTTCAACAATTTTGAAATCTAATAAAATTACATTTTACTTATGCTTTCAAAAATGCATGTTTTTCACTAACTATTTAATAACAAATCCGAGGTATGTTAGTCTCCATCACATCAGGTTCGAGGTGATCTGAAGGTCAAGTAGGGAAAAATTCAATAAAATTTTTCTGAATTTGACCCTGAGATGACCTTGGCATGACCTCTAGATGACCTTGAAGAATCACACACATTCGGATTCAGCGCCAACAAAAACAAAAAAATTAATTTTTAATTTTATTGAATAATTTTTTTTCCTAGTTGAGGTTAACGGATCTCGGATTCGGGTTCAGTGAGTCGAAAACCCCATATATGTACATATATGAATTTTAAGGTTTATTTAATTAATTTTTCCCTTCTTAACCTTCAAATGACCTCGAACCTGACGTGATGGTGGCCAACAGACCTCGGATTCGCATTCAGAGATGCCCCATCGGGGAACGTCACAATTTTCGCTATTATTTAGAAAAAAAAAACTTTAGAACAAAACAAAACCTAGGGTGCTGGATACGACTCTAGCGAACTCTGAAATTTTAAGGAATCTGTGGTACGTTCAGGACCGTAGCGTTTACAGGGGTCAAATGCAAAAATTTTACATTCATGTCAATCCTAAAATGGAGGGGCCTTCTTACTAGACATGCATATGAAATTAAATTCGGTCCTAGTGACGATTTGAAAACTTTGAATCCAGCTACTTATAATTCCCGATGCTTAAGGCTCGTTTAAAGACGTGAGATTAAGGGACCGATAAACATACGTGTACATTAGGGTGGTGCAAAAAAATACACAAATTTTGATCGAATAAAAAAACCACCAATAGAATTATGATGCAAATTTAACTCTAAAATAAAAGAACAAAATTTTGTATATTTAGAAGGTATGAGAATATCGTTTATGAAAAGATAGTAAGTTAAATTATAAATTTAAATATACACCATAATTTTATTGTTTGAAGATTTATGAATGGAAATATTTTTATTTGATCA